TTTTGGAGAAACCGGCTCGAGTGCGCTAGAATTTGAAAATACACAACCGGAGAAAATCTGCCACTTCCTTACAGAGCCCCTCCTCCAACACACACGAACGCGCACATGACCAATGAGGGCACGAGATAAGTTTGTGCACAGATGGAAGGCTGACAGGCAGGTAGGCCATCCAGTCATTTCAGCCGGGCCGGCTCAGATGATTGGTCGTGCTCTTTACAGTACTACAGCTTCCACAGAGGATATTTTTTTATGGATTTTTTGTCAAAGCACTTCAGATATTCATTGCTATCGGGATGTTAAGAGCATTCCATGGAATATAACAAAAAGTGTATCTCGAGCCGGTTTCTCAAACTTACCTACCCCACCTTTAAAGATGAATGCAATTACATTTAAAAAAGTTTTAAACAGAACTGTTACAGATGCAGATGCTTGGTCCAAATTCCATAAAATATACCAACCAGTAGCGCCACACTCAGACGAAAATGTACAAAGCCTATTCTTCCACTATTTGTATTCCCACATTATTCACCAAGCCAGCCCATGCTTTAATATAGATATTATGGATATTGTTATAATTCCTGCTGTCTTTTGTGAACTTCTAATTATTTGTAATTGTTCTGTTCCACAGATGCTGTAGTAAACCACCATCCAGGGACCAAGACATCAGATATAAGAACATCCATTAACACAAGAATTTGTGAGTAAAGGCACGAAAAAAACAAGATTGACGATCAAATAGGGTACAAGATCACATTTTAAAAGAAAATCAAACCCTCCTAGACGTTTAAATATGGCCTTTGGAATATGGAACCACATGGATTCTGGCTGGGACAAAAAGGCTTTCAACCATTTTATTTTAATTGTTCCAATCATCGATTCAAAGTCTAAAGCTTTAATTCCGCCTTTATCATATTCTTTAACAAGCTGTGACTTTTTAATGTAGTGAGTTTTATTTCTCCACAAGAATTGGAAAATAATTGAGTTGGCTTTTTTTATATTAGCCGAAGAGACAAAACATGAGTGGCATGGATAAATAAGTTTAGATATACCTTCTGCTTTAGTAAGAAGAACTCTGCCAAAAAGAGTAAGATCTCTAGTTAACCAACGACTGAGAGATTTCTTCATATCTGTGATACGGTTACAAATATTAAGATCTTCTCTCCTGATATAATTTTTAGATAATGTTATTCCCAAATATTTCACCTCAGGTACCAGTCTAATAGAGTCAATAGTGGAATCATCACATGAATGGATAGGGAGTAATTCACATTTTGAAAGATTAAGAGATAACCCTGATGCTTTTGAAAAAATTGAAATTGTGTTAAGAGTTTCCTTTACCATGGATTTATTTTTTAGGAAAATGGATGTGTCATCCGCAAATTGACTAATTTTGAACTCTTTGTCAAAGAGGGTAATGCCTAATATTTTGTGATTCTTTATAATAAGCGTTGTTAATACTTGGGTGGTCAGAATAAATAATTTGGGGGAAATAGGACAACCCTGTCGAATACCACGTAAAACCTTAAACCTAGGGCTCATTCCAGGGTTCAAAGATACAGAACTATAAATGTCCGAGTAGAGCATCCTAATTATGTTGCAGAAATGTTCACCAAAACCCAGAAATGTCAGAGTTTCCATTAAAAAGGAATGTTCAACAGTATCAAAAGCCTTGTAAAAATCCAGAAATAGTACGAGACCTTCAGTATCAATAAACTCCTGGTAATCAAGCATATCCAATATCAGTCTGGTATGGTTATGAATACTTCTGCCCTTTATAAAGGCTGATTGACATTCATCTATTAGTTGATTCAGACCCGAGTTTAACCTGTTAGCATAAACATGTGCTAAAAGTTTGTAATCATTACATAACAGGGTAATAGGTCTCCAATTATCCAACAAAAGATTATTTTTATTTGGTTTTGGAATTAAGGTAATAAGGCCATGTTTCATGGTTGGCGAAAGGTTTCCTGCTGAAATGCAATCTGAACGCCTTATAAAGCATTTCTCGCACATCTGACCAAAAACATTTATAAAACTCTATGGTTAAACCATCCAGCCCTGGTGATTTGCCACCAGACATTTGCAGTAATGCACTATCTAATTCTTCAATTTTTAGTCCATCGTCCATATACTGTTTAAAAGAATAATCTATTGTCTTTTTGAATTCTGTAATTTTACTAAAAAAGTTATCACAATTTTCTTAGAAAACTTTGAGTTATATAAATTGCTATAAAAAAAGTCTAATTTCTTCATTTATCTGGTCTTGATTTTCAATAGTGACATCATTAATAATCAGTTTTTGGATTTTCTTTTTCACTTGTCTTTGCTTTTCAAGATTGAAGAAATAAGAAGTGTTTTTCTCTCCTTGCTCAATCCATCGGGCTCTCCAACGAATAAAAGCTCCCTTTGCTTTTTCCAAATACATGTTGTCTAATTGAGTTTGTAAATTGTTCAGTTGAATTTGCTCATCCAATGATAACTCAGCTTTAAGGCATAAATTATTAATTGCACTTGTCATCTCTTGTTGTTTTTGTTTCTTTAATCTAGAAGAGTATTTACAGGATTTTATCGCAATCTGTCTCACACTAAATTTAAACCATTCCCATTTACTGAGAGATGACATATCCAAAGCCAGAGTTTCTTTTATCAGTTGTTTGATCTCTCTACAAAAATCTGCATTCTCCAAAAGACTATTATTGAATTTCCATATAGGTTTAAGATTGGGACTGAAGTTGCATAGTAAAAGGGACAAAGAGATGACACAGTGATCCGTCAGAGGTGATGCTGAAATGTCACACTTTGAGACATTATTAGTTAAACTAGTAGAGATTAACCAATAATCGAGCCTAGAGCACTGACCATTGTTAGAAGAGTTAAACCAGGTATATTGTGATTTTGAGGGATTATTTATTCTCCAAACATCAGTTAAATTAAGTTTAGAGGCCAAGTGAATAATAGAATCATTAAAATGATGACATTGTCCCCTTAAAGGAAGACGATCTAACCACTCATCAGGAACTACATTAAAATCCCCTCCGATTATAATCTTATCAGTCATATAAAGTGCTTTCCATTCCTCTAATTTTTGGCACAAGATTGAAAGAAAATTATTGTTTTGAATCTTTCTGTTATACCCATAAACACACACCAGTATGTAATTAGACCCATTCACATCAGTCACAACCATTAGCCAATGACCGTTTGTATCACTCCTGTGGTCAATTATATTTCCAGGTAACCTGTTAAATAAAATCATCACTCCAGCCGAATGTGTTGTTCCATGGCTGAAAAAAATGTTGTCTCCCCATTGTACTTTCCAGAACTTAGTGTCTGCCTCTGCAGAATGAGTTTCTTGCAGAAAAACACAATTTGCTTTTTGTTCCTTACAAAAAAGAAAAATTGCCTTACGTTTCACATTGTTTTTTAGCCCCCTAGCATTTAAGGATATGAAAGATAACATTGAAAGAGCAAAGATAGAATCTTTAAGAAAATGCGCAAAGGAATGTTATATCGATGCGCAGGAGTGAGTAACGTAGCCCTTAACAAACATATTTAGTGCAATAGCTCACAACATTTTGAATATAACCTGAGACAAGTCCAATCAAACACTCAAACTGAGAACTTCAGCATACCTACTGAGGACAGAAAACCTGCTCCCTGTCCTTCCAGTTAATTACTGCGGTGTTTTTCACTTTATTCCGGGTCCACTCTTTTGTTGTCAATCAGCGCGAAGCCTTCCTTCAAAAAGGCTCTCTTCCCCTTTCTCCTGGCTTCTTGAACCAGTGGCCACAGCTTGGAGCGAGCCTCCCGGTCCTCCTTGGAGAAATCCTCTTTGAAACGAATGTGCATCTCGCTGCAGACTCTCGCATCTTTGGACTTTTTCCAGATCTCGTCACGAACAGTCCTCATCCCGAACTGAATGATGATTGACCGCGGTGTGTTGTTGGAAGTAGCTGCATTACCCTTCATACCCAGCCGATGGACAGTGTCCACTGAGTCACGCAGCTTCTCCACAGACAGCGGAACAACTCTTGTGAGTATCCCGATCACAGCTTCTCTTGTGTTTTCTCCTTCTTTTTCAGGCAGACCATTCATCCTCAGATTCCACCTCCGTTTGTAGCGGGCTTGCTCCTCGCCAGACTTACGTAGTAAAGTGTTATCTTTTAGAAGATCATCAAACTTTTTCTGAAGAGCAGAAATGTCTTTCTTATTTTCTTTAGCTGCTTCAGTGTTTGCTTCAATGCGTTTTTCAAACTTTCTTAACAGCTCTGTCTGTTCATCCATTTTTCCGGATAAGACTTGAATTGCCTGGAGAATGGTGCTGTTGCTATCCTCTGCCATTTGTGTTTCGCCGTGAACCTTCGATTTCTTTGGATTCGGTCCTTTAGTTGGTGTGTGGTCCCGATTTATTTTGTGTCCCTTAGAGTTGTCCGCTTCCATGTCCTCAATATCCGAGTCGTCACACGCCTCACGGAGAACTTTTAAGTTGCAATCGTGGTCGGTCATGCTAGCAGGCACTTTATGTCAAAAGTGTTGGTAACTGGAGAATTAAAGTAAAATGTGACTATTTAAGCTTCTATAATAACTTAAAGTGTATCATGAATAAGCTATTGCCTGTCAGTTTTACAGTCAAGGACTAAAATCTAAACTTTTTCTACGAGCCTGCAACGTTGTTACTTCTCACTCCGCCATCTTCCCGCGGATCCTCTCTCCCAGCCGTGTATGTCACTCTTTAGTGTCCCCTGGTCTCCCAGCCGTGTGCGTCACTCTTTAGTGTCCCCTGGTCTCCCAGCCGTGTGCGTCACTCTTAGTGTCCCCTGGTCTCCCAGCTGTGTGCGTCACTCTTAAGTGTCCCCTGGTCTCCCAGCCGTGTGCGTCACTCTTAAGTGTCCCCTGGTCTCCCAGCCGTGTGCGTCACTCTTTAGTGTGCAGTACATCAGAGCTGTGCAGCTAAGTGAAAACATACTGATGAATCTGCACAACATAAAGACATGTCTGACCTTCCCCGCTGGACTCCATGCGTGACGACGTGTTGACGGTGTCTCCGAACAAACAGTAGCGTGGCATCTTCAGACCCACCACCCCCGCACACACCGGCCCTGCAGAGGAAACACACGGCAAGCTCATGCATCTCCAGAGCAGTGCATATAAAATAGTCCTGATCTAACATACTATTATTGTAAACGTTAAATGTAATGCAGCACTTGCTTTTGCAAACATCCAACACTTTACACAACAAATCCAGAAGAAAAGTATGTTGTGCATAAAATTAGAGCAGAATAAAAACACTAACATTTCAATTATCCGAAGTGGTTCACTTTGTTTAATCCATAATATATATGTTCTTACTCGTCATGTTATCTTTTAACCTGGTGCAGAATGTTAGGTCTTTGCACACGACTGCTGCTCGGCTATCGGCCCGAGGGTCGCTTTCATTACCTTTACAGCCTTGCATTGTTGGAGGAGCGATACTCGCTGTGCGTATGACAATAAAGCCTTTGAATCTTTTCAATCTTTATCCCAGACACATATTTACTGCTCCTCTCCCATCCTCTGCACGTCCTGCGGTAGAAGATGGATCTGTATTCTCTGACGTCTTGGTTAGAGCTGTGTGTGTGTACTCACCGCTGTGAACTCCTATCCTCAGCTCCAGCTGCTGCTCGGGCCGGTGGCAGATCTTGAATGTTCGCACGGCGTGCAGCAGGGCGAGCGCCATGCGGGCGATTTCCCTCCCGTGCAAGTTCCCCTTCCTCACCAGCAACCCCGACACCACCATGTAGGCGTCGCCAATCGTCTCCACCTGCAGGGGGGAGGGGTGCACTCCGTTTTACGTGTATTTAAAGGGCCCATGTCATGGCCATTTCCACTGATCATAATTACATTGTTGAGGTATACTAAAATAGATTTATACTGTGCAATTTTCCAAACTCACATTGGTTTCGCATACAGCATCTCTGTCAAGCATGTGTATTCAGCAGTATTCACTTTCTCCACTAAACGACTCGTTGGAGCTCTTGCCCCCCCCTCCCTGTGAGCCTAGTGTGCTCCGATTGGTCAGCTCGGCCACTCGTTCTGATTAGTCAACCACCAGAGAGGCTGCGCCCATGTCAGTGCTTTTCCCGGCTGCTCTCAGCGTAACATCAGTCTTATCATGGCGTCGGTACAGCGGTATATTTTATATACATATATATTTTTAACTGTTGTTATAGAAGAGTGTGACGGCCTCAGGGCCTTTGTCTTACGGTGGGGTGGAGCTGAAGAGGGTAATCAGCGCGATCACGGACACCTCCGTAGCCGGTGCTATTAATCCCAGCGGCCCGGAGTCTCTCTCCAAAGCGGCTGCAGAAGGACGAACTGAGCGACCCTCTCCCCTCGACCACCTATCTCTGCATTTACCACAATAAATGTGTCGTGGTTTTGTAAACTCGTGTATGTCTCCTTGTCTTTCCGTTGTGGCCTACGAGCTACTCTCATAACAAAGAGTAAGTTATTTTTACCCGTTATAAACTACTACTGTTTGATGAGAAATCAAATCATGGTTTGCTATATATGAATTCAGGGAAGAAAGGATAGGCCTACTAAGTATTTCCATTAAACTTTATTTTTAGAAATGTACAAAATGAACATAAATATACATATATACACACGGTATATCATCCATTCCTCCTCCTCGCATCTTGCCTGCGCACAGTCGGTGCGGTGCCTTTTAGCACGACGCCTCAGTAGTAGTAGAATCCCTTCCCCGTCATGGATTGTCCGCCAGGATCTGGCTGGACGAAATCAAATGCAAATCACAAAATATTAGAGAAACTTAGTTGTTTTAGATTCGTTAGTAGTAGTTGTGTAATGAACAGCTTGCCTGCTAATATG